AATTTGTTTAGGATTTATATTTTTAATAAAAAATAAAAAAGTTCGACTCATCTTCTGCCTTTCTTTTTTTTTTCTTTTTTTTTTTTTCTTCTTCCTTCCTCTTCTTCCTCTGTTGTTGGGTCCCTTGAATCCAGCCATCTAAGTTCCATCGAACCCAGCAAACTGGGTTCCACCGAACCTAGCTCGGGTTTGATGGAACCCAGTTGGTGGGTTCCTCGAACCCAGATCTGTGAACCTAGCACCACTTCTTTTTTTTTTTTTTGTTATATATTTGTTTGAAGAGATTCTTATGTAAATTGCAGGTTGTAAGGGATTTTTGAGATCCTTTTCTTCATATTTCTTAAGTATCGTTTAAATGATTTCAATGTTCAAAATGGAAAGAACATTGCCGGCAATGGAAAGAACAGAAGTAGTGATTAATGGGTAAAGAAGCAATTCTTAATGGGTTTTCATTTGTTTGGCTAGAAGGGTGTTTGGATGCTGAGAAAATGTTTTCTGTTTGAACATGGCAAAACGTTTTGTTCATGTCATTACTTTTTTAAATTTTACGCTCCATATCATCAAAAAAAATATAAAAAATGCCACATGTGCGGAGTTAATGGCCGAAATTAATAGAAGGATTAACGGTGTGCATTTGTTAGAGTTGAGGAATTAAAAAAGTGCAAAAAATTGTTGAGGGATAAAAAATATGCATTTCCTAAAGTTGAAGGACCAAATTTAGCATTTAACCTTTTTTCTAATTACTAAACCTTCGAGTATGTGAGAGTTAATTAAATTTTACAAAAAATATATATATAATTTTTAATATTTTTTCTTTATTCACACAATTTAAATTTTTATTTTTATTTAAATAAAATTATGTCTTTTTCACTTAAATTAATAAATTGTTAAGTAGATGTAGTCTTATTTACATAGACTTTAGAGTGTAATTTATATAGACTGTAGTGTAGTGCGGTGAGGTGTGGGGCATCAACCTGTCAACCGGAGGCGGAGACAAGGCCACGATACATGGTACGTAGGAGTAAGGTCACCGACTCGATCGCAACCATACCTTGAGAAAAATAGGCTATAAGATCATCACGAATAAGTGGGGGACCAATGTTGGTAGATATATTGACATATAATCTTATTAATTATTTTCATTTATTTCATGGAAAATGAAATCACACATCTCATCACCATCCAGTGTCTATTGGAGACGCTTAAAACCTTATCTTTTAATTTATATTTTTGTAGAACTTTTATTTTTTTTTTAGAAAATGATCAATACATCTTATAAAATTATGCATTCCATTACATATTAATAGTTTTTGTTATTTATGCTATTAAAATTGATGATTTTTATTAATTATATCGTTAAAATTAACAATTTTTGTTATTTATACAGTTAAAGTTGATGATTTTCATCACTTATACCGTTAAAACTGACGATTTTTGTGACACATTAATAATTTTCATCAATGTATAACGAAATGTATAACTGTACAAGATGTATATATTATTATTTTATTTTTTTAAGTGAAAAATAAGTTATTGGTTTCAATCGAGAGAATTTTGTGAGAAACTATATCCGCTATCTTATATATCTTCGTTGTTTCTTTTTTAAATAATGAAATTTTGATTAATAACATACGTAAAGAGTAATTATCTTATCAATCAAGATGCAAATCATGGTTAACTTTCCATTTTTGCAGTATAATCAAATCCTTGCCAAAAAAATAATAATAATAAATACTGAATACGAACATTCTTGATTGGTTCATAAGAAAAAACTAGGTCTAATTAGTTAGAAATGTATTATAATATTTAATAGAGTTAAGTGTTTCTTCCTCTTTACTTGTAAAAATTAAAAGGATTAATATTTCAAAATTACTTTATCTCAATTAAATATTACAAAAAATAAAAAATAAAAAAGATATTATAATTCATATTTTAAAAATATAATATTTTAATTTTAGAATTTTACATAATTTTTATTTTTAAA